GTCGAGGCTCTCGAAATGATGTACAACGACTCTTGTCAGGCTTAGAAGGTATTGGATTGTCACGTCAAGCCGAGGCAATTGATGGTGTTCTGATCGCTGCTATGTCGACACAGATAGAAAAACTAACAGCAGCACTGCAAGAGTCTGAGCAAAAAAGAGTTGCTGAACAAAAAAGCATGAGTACAACATTTCGGTAAATCAAGGAACAAGTGTTGAACCTCGCTCGCCGACCTACATCTACATCGTCCCCTATCGAGGGCACTGACGATGACCGTGAGGATGATGATGATTATATAGATTGCACTCATTGATTATCTTTTGTTGCTTTAGTTTATGAACTCTTTTTTAATTTTGAAACAAATTTTGAATGACTTTATAAGTTTTTGTACTGTGATTTAGATATTTTTGAAGATTGATTTAATTTTGTTGTTTTATATCTTGTGTGGGATGTTTAGATTTTATTTTAATTGATTAAGCTGGTTAAATTTGAATTAAATTGATTTATATTTGCAGGTGGACAGTAGAAACTGGCAGTTTCTGCTGTAAAAAAATGAAGAAACTAGCGACGAACAAGGTGGTTTTGTCCATCGCTTTTTTGCATAATTTTTTTCAAATAAACCCAAAAAAGCTACGGACAGGGTCCTTTAGTCCATCGCTTTTTTGGGTTTTTCAAAAATTAATGTCCAGAAAATCTACAGACAGGGTCCTTTTGTCCGTCACTTTTCTGGGATTTTCAAGATTAAAATTTCCAGAAAAGTGATGGACTGCGTCGCTTTCTGGAAATTAAAATGAAAATATAAAAAAAAATTAGAAAGCGACACAGTCCGACGTTTTTAGCGACATTATCCGTCGCTTTTTGAAAAACGTCGACCCAAAAAGCGGCAAACATGACTGCGTCACTTTTCCATCGAATTTGACCAAAAAAGCGATGTAATCCGTCGCTTTTGACAATCATTTTTTGGCAGTTTTTAGTAGTGATATTGAATGGGAAGTAGTATGTCGCAACTCGCAAGCACCCAAGTTTGAAGAAGCAGATATATCCCTGAGGCCGTGATAGATGCTTGTAAGGATCGAAACCGCCAAAGAAATTTTTCTCCATGAGCCATCAAGCTTGCAACTTTGAAGACACTAGCAGGAAGATAATCAGCTTTTTTGTTAGGAAGCACAAACTTGCAAAGACAACATGCAAGAAAAGCTGCCAGATAAGTCTCATCTCAAAGTGATTTTTCCACACCTAGCTCGACAAAAAGAGTATTCTCCTCTTCAGTTCGTGGTAAAAAACTCATGTCAATATTTCTAGAAAGATCATGATTCGTCCCTGGCTTCATACAATTCTTAAACGTCCTTGTTGAAGGCTCAACATATTTTCTTGTTCCTCTAAATCTGAACTTTGTCCATTCTTAAAAGGAGACTTCATCAATGACACCTTTGGTAAGTCAGTAGAATGCCAAAAATAAGTAGAAGCAACTTTTTGAGAGAAAAGACTTCCTTGATCATCTTCATGTGTCAAACTCCTTAGCCGAGGGTATAACTTTGTCATAAAAGGAATCATGAACATGAAGACCTCCAATGATTCTATAATCCCATTAAGATATAGATAACTCTCCGATAAAGGTAGAGATCGTATTGGTGGATGGATGATGATTCTCGCAAAAGGCGTGGAAAACATTTTTCGTTATGATCATACATGAACATTGAAGCAATGATAACATCATAAGTCTTGATATTGTCCAAAGTCTCCTTGCAACGGGCAAGCACATCTTCTACCCACTCCCAATAGCCAGACATATAGCGAACCTCATCAAACCCGAAAGGAGGAACACAACAACTGCTAAGATTCTCATCACGTCGAGAAAGGATGGCAACAACAACATTTTGATGAGTGGAAGGCTTCAAGAGGAGAACTTTTTCACTTGTGACTTTTCCAGAGAAGTTTGTCCATGATGTCCATAAAGGTAGAGATCGTATTGGCGGAAGGATGATGATTCACTTCTGTTGAAGACCACACTGGAGATGATGACAAGTGTTTAGCAGCTTTCTAACAAGTGGAAAGGTTCTAATCACCGGAAGATGAACTTTCAAGGTGAGAACTTTGGCACATGAATGTTGCTTATTCTCCGCAATCTCAAGGAAAGAATATGACATCTATCGATCACTAAAATCGATCATCACTGCTTGAAATCAAGATTATAAAACGCAACTCTGAAAAAAGGGGGGGTGTTAGTTTGGTGAAAACACAATTGGAGAAATTAAAAGACAAAAAAATCAAAAGTTGAGTTCAACATTAAAAAATTCAAAACGGTAGCAATGGAAGAGAAATTTGTCTTCAAATTGTTGTTATATTTAGTTTAGTGTTTCTAGTTCTAAAAAAATCAAACAGATTAAGATTTTGATTTTTTTTACAATGAGATATGAATTTTACACTACAAACGCGCAAATCTGACTGTCAGGAATGGGTTGTATATTAAAAATCAAAACTATAGCAATGGAAGATGAATTTGGCCGCAAATCTTTTCTATGTTTTATTTCCATGTTTCTAGTTTCGGAAAAAATCAAATGTCTTGCGATTTTAACTCTACATAATGAGATATGAATTTTACACTACAAACGCGTAAATTTGACCATAAAAAATAGACTCTATATTGAAAATGAAAACTATAGCAATGGAAGAGGAATTTGGCTGTAGATCTTTTCTATGTTGTAGTTCCATGTTTCTAATTTTAAAAAATCAAACGACTTGCGATTTCAGTTTTTCTTCAATGAGATATGAATTTTATACTACAAATGCGGAAAGTTGAACCATAAAAAATGGGTTACAGCTAAACAATATTTTTAAAGTTACTTGAGAAAGTGCAAAGAGTACTTTTGCTCAAAGTTTTTGATATATAATGGAGGCTACGCCTCTTGATTTGATAAAATCAAGCGGCGTCACATTTGAATAGTTAAGCACACTCGAACGACTTGTCTTTGCAGCGTCCAAAATTTGGTGTGATATACAAATCCTTTGTGCATTAGAGAGGATTATATAGAGATTCTTGTGAGAGATTTCTAATCCTTCCACAGGGAATGTTAAGGTGAATTTGGAAGAAAATTTGATTGGGTTGATTGATTCATCGCCCATTTTTTAAACTGCACAAATATGGAAATGATGAATCAAAAAGTGAAGGAAAAAAGAATACCTTAATTTAGATTCATTAATATACTTGGATACCGAAGGAAAGTTAATTTTCTTTTTATTTGGTTGAAAAGTCTAATCAATTTTCTTGTTTCTCATTCCTTGCGATAAAGATCACATGAAAAAGATGTAATTGCTCACTAGACCCATCTATTTCAAATAATTATAGAGGGGTCACGTTGTTGTCGAGCAAGAATATTTTTTAAAAAAAATTGGGATGACTACAAACAAATGATTTATAGTAGCCTAGTTAGAATGTGACGACAAGAAACAAATATTTTTGAAGTCTAAGAAAAATACTGAGATTTCAACTTTCGTCGTCAAGTTTCGGCAAGCCTACACGTCCAAAAGACTCAAAAATGAAAATACATTCATGAAGACTTCAATTCTCGTCGTCAAATTTGGCAAGCCTACACGTCGACAAGTCTATATAAAAATGAAAACACATTCATGAATACTTCAAGTCTCAGCGTTAAGTTTCGACAAGGCTACACGTCGAGAAGTCTCAAAAATGAAAACATATTCATAAAGACTTCAACTCTCGTCGTCAAATTCGGCAAGCCTACACGTCGACAAGTCTATATAAAAATGAAAACACATTCATGAATACTTCAAGTCTCAGCGTTAAGTTTCGACAAGGCTACACGTCGAGAAGTCTCAAAAATGAAAACATATTCATAAAGACTTCAACTCTCGTCGTCAAATTCGGCAAGCCTACACGTCTACAAGTCTAAATGAAAACTCATTTATGAATACTTCAAATCTTATCTTCAAGTTTCGGCAAGCCTATACATCGATAAGTCTCGAAGTAACGAGCATTTATAGACACATAAATTTTATTGGATTAAAATTCATACGAAATTTGAATTAAATTCATGTGCATTTGAGTTAAATGAATAATTTGGGCTATACAAATGATTAAGTCCACTCTATTAAGTTCAAGTCCAAGGTCCATTCTACCTTGAAGCCTAAATTCATGCCATGTATCACAGTGACAAGGCATTCAAGACCAATAAGATGGGGCCACATGTCCAAATTAAATGAGGTGGTAGTCCCAGTCAAATTTAAGAACCAATCACAGTCCTCCAAGTGTCAAAATGACATCTTTTGACCAATCATAAGCAATCTTGCCACCCCTATAACTATAAATAAGGGATAGACATGACATTCTAAAGGACATTCTGAAAACCCTTCAACAAACATTCTGCAAGGATTTGAGAAAGTTACAACACCAACTACATAACTCTTCGAATGAGTGGTCAATAGAGTTCCTCCCGGAGATTGACTTGAAACAGCGAAGCGCTTCCCGACGTTCCTAGAGATCAACCACATCTCAAGGAGGTCTACATCATCCAACGATTCGAAGACCCTTTGAATTTTAGAGAAGTTTAAAAGAGAAAAATCAAGAGAACAACAGAATTGTACTCACACAATTTATCAATAAAAATCACATTTTTCTTTTATTTATTTTTGCTTGCAGTTAATTTTCAGCGTTTGCAGAAATTTGTTGTAAACAGACATCAATTTTTAAAATGTAAAACTTCAGTAGAAGAGTATAAATTAAAAAAAATAATCATAAAACATAGTATTTTGTATTTAAATGATACATAGAAAATGAGAATAGAGAATTAAATGAAATGAAATAAAATTGAGGTAAAATGCCAAAATGAAAATAGAGGACAAGTAAGTTTTTTAATTAAGCCAAAGAAAATGACACTTTCACCCTTAGTATCACACGTGTCAGCTTCTCATTTGAGAGAAGCATGATATTACAATGAGTGAGCAAGTAGAGAATCAGTCAATACAACAAGTACAATGTCCAACATGTGGCTCAAAGCTTCTCACTTCGTACTTTCTTCCCTGTCTTGCTCTTTTCTAATCTCCCTTAGATTAAATCGCCCCAACCCCCTTGTGCACTTTGTTTTCTTCGCCCCAATTCATTTTTTCTGTATACACACTGAGAATATATATATATAGTTGTAAGGGACATTTGAATCCTCATCCTGATCTGCATTTTCTCTTCGTTTGAATCAAGAAGCCAATTTTCTTTGTGGGGTTTTCTAGATGGCTGCTATTATACAAGGAATTGGTGCTGCTACTGCACTAACATCAGCCAATTCTTTGGATACCAAGAAGTCACTTTTCGCTAATTCTCGCAGATCTTTGTCAGGTTTGTTGCAATTTATTAGTCTTTTAGCTAGTATTCGAAATTGGGTTTTGTTAGTATTGCTTAAATTTATTTTCTTTTTTTTTTGTTGATTGTGTTTTTTTGGTTCTGTTTTCTGATTCTGGGTTTATGTAATCTTTGTGTCTTTTGGTTGTTTTTTATCTGAATATTAATTGGTCCACTAAAAGAATGTTTTATTTTCAAGTTAGTGCTTGTTTACTCTCCAAATTTCAATCAATTATCTTCCATTTTTGTGAAATTTATGGTTGGTTTGCAGAGAGGAAAGGAAGGTTATTTGTGGTTAGATCTGATGGGCGTTTGAGCTGTGGTTTGAATGGACGTGGAGGAAGAGCTGAACAATTAATTACTAATGCTGTTGCTGTTAGTATTCTTTACTCTCTCATAATAATTGTGACGCAAATGATTGATTATTTACCAGCAGAAATGTGCTTAAATTGGTAAATTTTATTTTCTTTTAGACTTTGAGATTTGGTGTTGCATGTAATTCTTTTTTTTTGATGAAGTAGTATTGCATGTAATTCTTTTACAGGCAAAAGAAGATGCTGCTGCAGCTTCTACTTCATCCAAGCCAGGGTATATTTACTTCTTCTCTGAGTTGTACTTGCATATCTTTATAGTTTAAATTGCTTCCTTCTGGTTGCCACTTCATTTGTCTCTCCTAATGTTTGTCTTCTAGGGCTCTAATCATCAGTTTTTTTTCTGACACTTTAAACCCGCGTGGTGGCTTGTCAGTAGATGAGATTAGTTTTTTTTTTAAAAAAAATCTTGATTAAGTTGGGCAAGGTTACATTCTTGCCTTGTAAAGGAGGTTGGCTGGTAGGATTATGATTTTTTTTTATTGTATTATTAAGTTCAGCTGCTAATCTCGTTGGTGTTGTCAAAGGAAATAGAAAAGTCAATAGAAGTTGCTGTTTTGCTTCAGATGATGCTAATTCATCCTGTGATAACCATGTCTAATTCTGCTCCTTGTTCTGAATTGTGATAGCAGAAACAAAAGAAAGAGTGATGGTGGGAGTGATATGGATTTTTTGTTTGGATTAGTACTGGGGATATAAATAAAAAAAAAGGAAAAGAAAGAAAGGATGTGCTACATGGTGAACAAAAGTTCAACCCTTGTTTCCAACCAAAAGTAGGCGTACATAGAGAAATTCATTTTTAGTAAATCTCATCTTTAAGCCACAAAGGTCTCCCGCGGACTTGAGAAAAAGAGTTGCACTTTTCTCGCTTTTCTTCTTGTGGTACTTCCAATTTTTCATTTATTATTTGCTCAAAAATTTTGAAGGCTCTTATTTGCCGTAATTTTTTTCCTATGTTAATGGTCGAAAGAAATGGTTTCCATTGCCATTCCAATAACACTATTTTTGATAAGTATTCAATTAAAGTGATTTCTAGTTATATTGTTTGGTATTGGGGATGGGGTAGACAAAGTTATTCCATCATATATAAATAGGAAATTTGTCCCATCGTTGTTGTATCAATGGTGGGATAAATAATTCCAAGACTAATTAATATCCCTAACAAAATGCATGATAAAATAACTCTGCAGTTTATCCTAGGATTATTATCATTTATCCCTCATACCAAGTGGCCCCTAAGAGATTACAATGACAACATACCCAGTGTAGTTCCACAAGTGGGTCTGGGGAGGGGCAAATGTACGCAGACCTTATCTCTATCTTTGTGGAGTAGAGAGGTTATTTCCAATAGAGTCTCGACTCAAAATTAGTGTAATCAAAGCATGATAGAAAAGAAAATAACGATTGCAAAATAGCAAGATAAATAAAGCATATGAAGTAGTATGTAGTAATAAGAAAATGGAGAATAAGAACTATGCGAATACTAGATAAGATTACTAATTAAGGAGAAGATGAGATGAGGAGATTAGCCCTCTAACCAAACTCTCACATTTCCTCTTCACATGTCTGAACCACCTCAGTCTCTCGCTTCCCTCATCTTATCCTCCATGGAGGCCATTCTTGCCTTGTCCTGTGTAACTTCATTCCTAATCTCATCTCTCCTAGTATGCCCGCGTATCCATTTGGGCATCCTCATCTATGCTACCTTCATCTTTTGAATGTGTGCATTCTTGACTGGCCAACCCTCTACCTCATACAACAATCTAGGTCTAACCACCACTCGGTAGAACTTACCTTTCAAGTTTTGGTGACACATTTTATCACACAGTACTCTGGACGCGAGGCCCATTTCATCGTTAATCTTCCCATTTCCTTGGATTATAGACCCAATATACTTTAAACTCTCTCTTGGGTATGACTTGTGTATCGGTCTTCATTTCCATCCCCTCCTCCACTATAGGCATTGCGTCATTGAACTTTCACTCCAGGTACTCTATTTTAGTCCTACGTTTGCTTAACCTGAAACCTTTAGATTCTAGGATCTGTCACCAAACTTCCAGTCTATCGTTAACTCCACCACGTGTCTCATAGATATCAATACAGATCAATACTATGTCATTTGTGAATAACATACATCAAGACGCCACCCTTTAAATATGCCACGTCACTTCGTCCATCACTACGACTAAAAGAATTGTGATGTATGATTGAAGTGCCCAACAGAATAATGTACACCACATGTTAGCCTGGACATTTCGGAGGTAGAGGGTGTGATAGGTGGAGTTTTCTGTGTTAAGTCATACACTAAAAAGATATTTTTGAGATGATAGGTGGAGTTTTCTGTGTTAAGTCATACACTAACAAGATATTTTTGAGGGAGGAGTCTGACTTTCCACACTTAACAACCTGGAATCCTAGGAAGGGAAGACATGTTTCTCTTCTTGCCTAGCAACAAGAGAGGTAATATTGACATTTGAAGATAAGGCAGAAAAGACTTTTCTCTGTCAATCAGTGTTTTCAAAAACGTTTTTTGAGGCGAGTCTCGCGCGAGTCTTGGGGCGGGGCGCACCAAAAACGCACTGGAGCGCAAATGTAAGGCGTAGATCCATAGGATGTAAGTCCTAGAATTTGGGGCGTAAGCTTCTAGCGTAAAAATGTAAGCCCTGGGCGTAAAAACGTATGCTCTGGGCGTTTATTTTTTATTTTTTTAACCTTTTTTCTTTAAATCATATTTTTAATATTGGTGTAATAATATTTCTCAAATAGTAATTGTAATACTTTTTTTCTTCATTATTGGTGATTAATACCTTTCTCAAATAAAAATCATAATATATATATTGTAGGTTATTTAATAAAATTTATTTGTAAAATAATTGAAAGTTTTACTTTTACCTTTTTTTTAGTAATAAAATTATAAAATTGAATATACATGAGTCTACGCCCCGTAGATCCATAAGACTTACGCCCTGTGTCTCGGGACTTACGTCTCGCCCCGACGCTACATTAAATGTCTCGCCTCACGCCCCCGCCTTTTAAAACACTGCTGTCAATTGGTGCTTGTCCAGAAGAAGATGTGGACCATCTCCTATTGCAGTGTCGTGCTGCTACTAGTTGTAGTGAATGGTGCTGAACTGGTCCAAAATGCCACGGACAACATTGGGCACATCAAAGAATTTGTTGTGCAACTGGACTTTCAGAAGAAGGATGGGAAGACGTAGGCATGGTGCACCTTTAGCCCTAGTGTGAGTTCTTTGGAAGGAGAGAAATCGGAGAGTGTTTATAGACTGATTTGACTATCCAACTCTAAGAGATTGACTATCCAAAAAGAAAAAAGTAAACCTTAGATGTTGCTGCGAGCCTGCAACTATACAACTATTTTATGAAGATTAATTTGTATTTCTAGCTTGTAAGGATCTGATGAAGTTTTAGTTTGTGTCCTTACCATTTATTTAATTTCATATACACCAGACAGCTACCATAAGGGCACAACTGTATTGAATTCTTAGAATGTCTACTTTGCACTCCATTTTACTGCTTGCTGCTTGGAACTTGTCATGTGACTGGCTGACAAAAAGAAGAGAAAGAATACCACTATAGGATCTCTAAGAAACACCTGAGACCAACATGAAATGTCTCTCCTTTTTTTTTTTTTTTTGATAACCGAGAAATCCGTCTATGATCCGCCCTTTCGACCAATCATAGTCTTCTAAACTCGGTGGATAATGGGCCCGCCCCTCTACCCTTTTCCACTTAAATACCGGGCTTCGCTTTGCATGGTGTGGGGCTTGAACCTGTGAACTATGCCACAAATCATCCACCTTTTTCCACTCGAGCTAAGCCTTGGGGGCAAATGTCTCTCTTTTGGGATCTCATCATTTCCTATTCTTAATGATAAACAAATTTTCTTCAACTTTATATGGATTCATAGAGGCCCTTGCTAATAGTGTTTGTCAACCCTTGTTTATTTTAGATCCTTACTTAAAGGCCAAGTTATTGCCTTTTTGTTGTATTTGTAACTCCTTACTGACCTATAACTCCAACACAAATCTACTTTTACGTATTGGGATGTAGGTCAAGAACTCTTTGTTAGTGTTTGTCAACCCTACTTAATTCAAGATCTTTACTTAAAGGCCAAGTTATTGCCTACTTGTTTTATTTGTTCGAGATTTTTACAGTATGTACAAAATGCACATACATACATGAACTATAAGACAATATGTATTATTGTACTAGTAGACATATCATATGTGTAGTGATTGTTATGTGTACTTGCAATAAAATTGTGCCCAAGTATTTTTTGTCTTGATGAGACTTCATTTTTATGCGCTCTTTCTAATATTTAGTAATTCTTGTAGAAATGGCAATTGAGGTTTTGTACTCCTAAAGTTAACACAAAATAGAAAACAAAAACCTGCAAAAATTGCCATTAGTCGTATCTTTTTTTTTTTGTGTGTCATACCTCTAAGAAAGGAACTCATCTATTCCATTTCAAATATGATGATTCAATATTGTTGGTCGATGGAGTTTGGACTTGTCATGTATGTGAACTACCTGATTTACATGTCAACACCATATCAGTTCAATTTGGGTCAAAGACATTTAGGAATTATAACAACATAAAGCAAAATGGAGAGTTGATCATCCATAAGGAAGATGTACTTAGAAGTATCATTAAGAAAGGTGCTTTGAGGTTTGCTTTCTTGGTGTCATGTAGAATAGAGATTTATGATATGATGGAGGCCTCTGTTTCTTTTATCAATGATGCTGAGCTGAAATCAAATGCTTTTTGCAGTTCTGTGAAGAAGTGTTTACCAATTATTTGACCTGAAAGGGGGGACCAAGCAGTTCTGGAAACTGCTACAAATGTTTAGGGTTAGTGCTGCAAGTTGTTTGCTAGCCTTGAAAAGTTTGGTGTCACTGTATGTGTATGAGATGCAGAGTGCTCTCTGAGATGGGAACTAGAGCAGTAACTAATGGGCCTGGGGCATGGGTGTTGCTTTGGTACTTCCGAGAGTAGAATGTTCCCTTTGTATATGTATGGGAGAATGTACTAAGTGGAAAAATAGAAATGTCCGAATGGGTCTTGGAAACACACTAGAACAAGTATGCTGCTAGGAGGAACAAAAGAAGCATAGGAATCAGAAATTTACCTTTGAATCATGGCAGTTAATGTAGAAACACAATTATGTGATAGTTGTGGAGAACTAAAATTCATTTTTTGGAAAACAATGGGCTGAACCAAAGGTTTGTGTTTGTTTGTCTATTAACTGAAGTTCGAATTCCATGAGTGTATGACAGAGGAGATGTTACCCTGTGACTGCCGTGATCTATGTTCCTACAATAACTGGTTAAGCAATCTTAAATTTTAACATCAGAGATCCCTCTGAAGATTGTCATTGATGTCTTTATTCTTGTCGAGCGGAGTTGTTCAAAAGGAAGGCTTAAATCTTTTACAGGAAATTTGGCCCCCTTTCCTACTTTAAACTCTTTGGGACTTTGATTTTTTCTTTCTGCTTTGTCGGATTTTGAGGTTCTAATTACATTAATTTTTTGGGCCACCAGAAGCTAGTAAAGAGATCCCTTTTTCATTCTCTCTTCCTAATGCATAAGATTCCTGGTGTGGGATTCCAGGAATTTCTGTTACTTATCTCCTTGTTTAAGGACTGAAGAGCTCGTTTAGTTCTGATGGCAGTCATAACAAACATTGTTTTTGGATATATATGAGTTACAAACTTCCTTGATGGTGTCTTCCTAATTAATGGGGATGATTATGTCCATGTTCAAAAGAATTTTCAGTGATTGTGCTTGCTTAATCATTAAACTTTAGCGTCAACCACTTGCTACTGCATGCCCAGTTGCCTCAGACCTCTGGAATATGTTTTGTTGTTTTTTTGGTCTATCCTGGGTCATTCCTTTCTCTGTTAGGGATGCTCTTGAAAGTTGGAGTTCACGGTAAGTTGACAAAGCCATCAAGTGTATGTCGATGATGATCTGCTCTCTTGTGGTGTTTGTGGACAGAGAGGAACAAAAGATGTTTTGATGGAATTTTAACTTCTAGAAATCTTTTGCGAGGCAGATGTCTAGTTAGCCTTTTTAGCTGTCCAAATTGACCCATGCAAATAATGTAGACCTCTTCTTAGGTTTTGTTAGCTCTATAGTTTAGAAAGAGGCTACAAATCCTTTTATGTGACTTTAACTGATCTATCCTTGTAACACTAGCATCTTGTTGATGCCTTTAAATGAATCTTACTTCATAAAAAAGAAATCATTAAACTTTTATCATTGAATAGATCTTTGTTGGCTGGTTGGATATGCACCTTTTTTCACTTATTTTTTTTTATCGTCGATCATGGTGTGAACTATATTAATTACTGCCCAACTGCTTGCTTACTGAATGTTCTTTTTCCAGCTTTCTTTTTACTTGATCTCACCACTTGTTTGATTGAATGTACATCTTTAGGCATGAACTGTTGCTCTTTGAGGCCCTCCGCGAAGGTCTTGAAGAAGAGATGGACAGAGATCCCACTGTTTGCGTAATGGGTGAAGATGTCGGTCATTATGGAGGTTCATACAAGGTGACTAAAGGCCTTGCCCCAAAATATGGTGATCTCAGGGTTCTTGACACTCCTATTGCTGAGAACTCTTTCACTGGTATGGGCATTGGAGCTGCAATGACTGGCTTGCGTCCAGTTATTGAAGGAATGAACATGGGATTTCTTCTTCTAGCCTTCAACCAGATATCTAACAACTGCGGTATGCTCCACTACACATCTGGTGGCCAGTTTAAGATACCAGTTGTCATCCGAGGTCCTGGTGGAGTTGGTCGGCAGCTTGGAGCAGAGCACTCTCAACGCCTTGAGTCATACTTCCAGTCAATTCCTGGAATCCAGATGGTTGCCTGTTCAACCCCCTACAATGCCAAGGGCTTGATGAAGGCAGCTATCAGAAGTGATAACCCTGTGATTCTGTTTGAGCATGTTTTGCTCTACAACCTCAAGGAGAGAATTCCAGATGAAGAGTATGTGCTGAATCTTGAAGAAGCAGAGATGGTACGACCTGGGGAGCATGTAACCATTCTAACTTATTCCAGGATGAGGTATCATGTGATGCAGGCTGCAAAAACACTTGTGAACAAGGGTTATGATCCTGAGGTCATTGATATTAGGTCTCTGAAACCGTTTGACCTTTACACCATTGGGAAGTCAGTGAAAAAGACTCATCGTGTGCTCATTGTCGAGGAATGTATGCGCACAGGAGGTATTGGTGCCAGCTTGACTGCCGCTATTACTGAGAACTTTCACGACTATCTAGATGCCCCAATTGTATGTCTGTCATCACAGGATGTGCCAACCCCATATGCTGGGACGTTAGAGAACTGGACTGTTGTCCAACCTCCCCAGATTGTTACTGCAGTTGAACAGCTTTGCCAGTGATCAAGTGGTAGAAGTCTTGTGATAATCATGCCATTTATGTTCGGTTGCTTATTTCATAATTTAGGACTCAACTTCTGATCGATTTTTATTGTCTGATTTTGCTAGAGATTTTAGTATTTGGAACTTGCGAGTCCTAGTTAAGGTGATATGTTTATTGCTTTGCCTTCTACTCACACCAAAATGGTGCTTGGAATCTTTATGTACTGGTAAGGTAATTAGACTTCATGGAAACATTATCATTGTTTTGTGTCGTTAAAGATTAAGATTTAGGTCTATTTTATAATCAAAGCTGGAGTTGTCGTACATTGCTGAAACTATTAAATTTATGTCTTCCAACTAACAGAAGTGTGTGCAGTAGTGGGAGTGTTTCACCCTTAACCAGAGGTCTCGGGTTCGAGCCATGGGTATGGAGAAAATCCTGTTGGGAGCGCCACTCTCGAATGGACCCTGCAGAGCGTGATCCGGATTTAGTCGGAGCACCAATGTGGGCTCCGGACATCGGGTGGGAAACCAAAAAAAAAAACTATCAGAAGTGTGAATACAGATGTTTGGAACTCTACGCTTTGCCAGAGCTAGAAAAAGTTTGTAAAATTCTTACATAAAATACTTTTGACCCATCCAATTCCATCCCATCCCAATTTATTGAAGTATTTTCCCTTCATGTCGTAGCTTCAAGAAATACAGTGTAGCTGTATCCAGGCCAAGGCTTATTATCTGCCTTTGGCTTAGCAGAAAAAGTGTGTACTTTACTACTCAGGGTTCATCCTTTGTACTGAGTTATTTGCATGAGCACGAGATGACATTCAATTTATAGGGTGTTTGGATTGGCTTAAAAGTTGGTCAAACCTATTTTTAAGTCAGTTTTTGACTTCTGGAGTGTTTGACAAATATAAAAAATAACTTAAAATAAGTCAAAAATAACTTCAAATAAGTTAGAAAGTGTTTGGCTGGGTTGTGGGGGGTGGTGTAGATGGGGGCTATTGGGCGGGAGTGGGATGTGTGAAGGGTGGGGAGGAAACAATTAATGTGGAATGCCACCATGGAACTTGTCCCTACTTGGGGAAATCAATTTTTTTTTTCTTTTAATTTTAAAGGTATTTGTTTTCCTAGAGAAAATATTTTAAAGAGATTTTGACCAACAAAACATTGAGAACTATAAAACTTTTTATGGAATTTTTTTTCACTATACCAAACAACCCTTATTCAAAATGAGCATACTGGATTTCTAACAATAGCCAAGTTTTAAGCTGTGTAGTTTTTGTTTAGAATGAGGATGGAATATAAAAGTCAGTTGTACTTGAATGAGGATATAAAAATACAAGTCAGGGTGTACAACACCATGTTAAGATAGTATTGTTTCAATGAATGGTGGGGACTTTGAGTTCAGGATATGACTTAAATCACCGACAACAACTACCAAGTAACTTGGTCCACCAAGTTTAAGACAGATGAGAAGAATTCTGTCATGTGTCACTTAAGTTTTGTTGTGGATTCGAACTTGAGACTTTTCTTCTGGTTGTATGACCATTATATTGGATATGAAATGAATTTTTCTATCATTGAGTCCTATTGTGTCATGTGGACTGTGCTGAAATATATGTAGCAAGCATAGATCTTTTTCATGTGAGATATTTATGCATGACCATCGTATGCCAGTTTCTTATCTGTTAATCCATCTGATCAGATGGTCCACCCTAATATTGTGTGGATTCTCCATTTGTCTTGACATACATGTGAATTTTCTTAAAAAGGTGACCTACCTATACCAGGTATTTCGACTCAATCATACCAAAATACAACTGTGTGAATGCGTTCGATCAATATAGGTCCACACTCCACACTAATTATGAAAGGCTAAAAGAAACCAGAAAACCATGTTCTCAAATATTCATTGTTAGCTTGACTAGCTCTGAGCCATTTCCATGATCACATCATATCCTGTTTGTTTCAACACTCCACACTAATGTGTCCCTAACTACCCCTTGAACCTTATGTCTCATAATATCTGAGGTTTATTTGTTCTGTGTGGGACAATCTATTTACTTTTCCATTGTCATCCACAGAAAAAAAGAGATGTGCTTTTGACAAGTAACATTATGAACAATTCCCATGCTTTCCTGTTTGCCAGCCAATTTTCTCCCTCATATGTGTCTTTGGCCCCCTTCAACATCTAGTAATTTTAGGTGTGATCTACAAGTTATTGTTTTCAAATGTGTTGGAATTAATGCGTTCACATCTTGATGTTTAGTTTTTCAATACCATCTCTTAGTTTTTCGAGAAGTCTTTTAAATTTGTAATACATATATCTAGTAAATTGTGATACATGTATCTAGTAATTTGTGCAAGACTTTTGGTTTTATATTTTTAGTAGTATAAATAGAGATGTAATTGATAATTGTAATTTTCTCAAGTGGCGTTAAGTACCCTATATAAAACTTGAGCATTCTCTAAATAAAGTATTATCCTTCTATATTACCTACAAATTGGTATCAAGAGCAGATTTTCGTTCTTAATCTGGGGTTAGGTGAGGAAAAAAATAGGGCATCCAAAACAAATGAAGGTGCTGATTCTTCAGTTGTTCTTACTCCATTTTTTCCATTTTTTGATGGAAATAAGCTGAAGGTTTGTAGACTATTGTTGCAAATGGCTTTGAAGAGCTAGAAAATGATGGTGAACTTATAGCAGGAGAGATGAAAAATCTTGAGGCTAAGTATTGTCAAGATGCAAAAGCCTTGAGCAAAATTCAAATGGGAGTCTCAAGAGCATATTTTGCGAAAATTGCTAAGTGAGACTGCAAAGCAAGCTTGGGAGTCTCTGGAAACTGAGGTGTATGGTGACGAAAAGGTACGCACTATAAATATTCAAACTCTTAGAAGAGAGTTTCAAAATTTGAAGATGATAGAATTTGAAAAAATAGATGAATATTGCACAAGAGTCATGAATATTGTTAATGAAATGAGAAATACAATCTCGACCAACAAGTTGTGGAAAATATTCTAATTAGTGCCACAGAGAAATATGAGTATATTGTTGTTATCATGAGGAAACGAAAGATCTTTCAAAGCTTTCCATCAAAGAGCTAGTTGGATCATTTCGTGCACATGAAAAGCGAAGATTTTTTCGTGAAGATCAACCCAAAGAGACGACTTTTCAGTCTACAACCAATGAGAATTCTCAAAATTTCTCAAAAAATCAACAAAAGAAGAATTACAATCCAAAAAAGAAGCAGGATCATTATGGTTCTTCTAAGAAGGTTGAAGAAAAATGTGAGAAAAGTTCTAGTCTTTTTTGTAAAATTTGCAAAAAGACTAATAACAATGCAAAAAAATGTTGGCACAAAGGCAAGCCCCACTGTAACTTTTGTAAAAAGTTTGGCCACATTGAGAAGGATTGCTGGCACAATCAATGGGAGTAAGCAAATTTTTGTGAAGAGCAGGTGGAAGAAATTTTTTTTTTATTTGCTTCTCAATCTAATGCTTCAGCAAAAACCAATGAATGTTATGTTGATAGCAGTTGTAGAAATCACATGTCTAGAGATGAAAAAACTTTCCTCTCAATTAATAGTAGCATCACAACTAAAGTTAGAATAAGAAATGGAGCCTGAGTTGATGCAAACGGTAAAAGTACCATTTCAATCAACATAAAAGAAAGCGGTAGGCAAATTCATGAGTTCTTTATGTTCCTGACATGGAAGAAAATTTGCTTAGTGTTGGTCAACTCATGGAAATAGTTATTCTCTTGTGTTCAGATATAATTTTTGCAAGATTTATGATAAAATTGAGCCAAATCAAGTCATTATTAATGTAGAGATGATAAAAAGAATTTTTCGTTTACAATTTCATTACAATGCATTCAAAAATGAAGTTGTAGATGATTTATGGCTTTGACACAAGAGATTTTGTCACTTGAATGTTCCTGGTTTGAAGCTTCTCAAGGAAAAGGACATGGTGCAAGACCTTCCTGAGATACGTACTGAGATTAAGCTAGAGAATACTTCTATCATATCTTTAGATGTATCAAATCAAGAAGAGGATGAAGAAGATGTCCCTCTAGAAATATAATTGACATATAAATGTAGAAATCAAAACTAAGATTTAAGATGAAGATATAGTCAAATAAGTCCCCATTACAATCCAAGTCCATAATAATATATAGTCGAAAATAGAGAAACAATCGGACTTGGAGGGAATAAGGAAAGAAGGGAGAAATAATAGGACTATTTTTGATTGATATAATAATATATTTATCATCTAAACTAGGGTTAGGGATATATTTTAATTAATTAAATCTTAGCCATTAAATCTGATCTATGCCATATGTCATTAATCAAGACTAGAACTTGGAGAAAATGGAGACAAGGGAAATTGAGAGGAGCCGGATCCTAAAATATTTACTTTCGTTGCATATTCTAACATTAAACGGATACCACTTCATCCAATACCTAAGAAACGAAAATAGAGAATAACAAATAACTTCTATAAAAAAAAGCAAAAAAAGTAACTCCCTCTTTTAACAGATGTTTTGAACGAAAAAATTATAATTTTTCACTTCAGATATACAAAAAATAGATTTTCAATGCAACATCCATAAAACAAAATTTTAAGTTCAATAACAAGAGTTCAGATTATGTCGATGAATAATTTATATATATATAGATTCTAATGGAATATATACGTGAAATAAATTTATACAAAGTAGGATCATATATATGTAGAATTATATAATATGTATATATACATTATTCTAATAGTATATATACACAATATATGAGAAAATATATCAAGCCCACCGTAAACTTATGCCTTATTTTCAAGTAGACATGTAAAGTTTGTAGGCTCCTATTATCTCATAAATTGTTTTCAACCAAACTAAATATATCATTTTCATCCATTTTTGCACTTGATGTGTTCTCATGTTGAGCGCGTGAGTATTTAAAAAAATAGTGTCGAACCAATATAAAAAAGTCATGTGGCATTGCAAATTGAATTATTCTTAATAAAAAAAAGATTCATCTTTCCCAAATCAATTCAAACACCATTAACAACCATTGAAGTTTGTTGGAGTGTTCATGGGTGAGTAAATTGCAGTATTTCTCGAACTTCGATTTACTATCACAAGACGAGTACTCTGTTTAGTCATCACCAATCCCAGGACTCGTCATCATTTGCTTCTCCTATCGTCTTCGTCAGTACGATGGTAGGATTTATCATTGTCGACATTTTTTGGTGGAGATAATGCAAACAAATATAAAAGTGAAAAAAAAATGAAGAAAAAGAAGGTCAATGCTGGCCGTGATGGAGCT